AAAAAAAAAAAAAAAAAAAAAAAAAGAAAAGAAAGAAAGAAAGGAAAGAAAAAGAAAAAGAAGATAATGTCAGTGGAGTTTTACTGTCAACTGATTGCTGTTGAAATCCATCTAGGGCGTTACTCAAAGTCTGGATTTCTGGCAACATCATTTACTCCAGTCACCTGACATATAGCACTAAATTTTCTTTCGATGAAGGCAGTAGAGGAAGAAAGATAAGGCGATGGGAAATGGATTCAGAGGGACCTCTGAACACCTCTGGATGGACCAGTGGTTCTCAATCAGGGGTAATTTTGCCCCCAGATATTCTCCAGATAGTGTCTGGGGACATTTTAGGTTGGCTGCAGGGATGATTCTGGCATGTAGGGCGTGAGTAGAGGTCAGGGATGTTGCTAAACACCCTACAATGCACAGAACAGACCCTCACAACAAAGAATCATTCAACCTCAAAAGTCAATACATATGATGCTGAGGAACTCTAAACTGGACAATTTAACACAGCACTGAAAAACTACTTACAATTCCATGTTTTTGTAACAGGTCAATGTCTTGAAACAAAGATTCCTAAAGGAGATGGAAGAGAAAAAATGAAGTTTTAATTCTTCCTATCCAACTATTTCACATCTTTGAAAGAGTTAATTCAATACAATGAGTCACTCCCAAATGCTTCAAGTTCCCACTTCTCTAGCCAGATTGAGGTAGGATCAATGTTTTTTCAAACACATTGTTGTGTACTTAGAAGAAGCACCAACATTAAAAGGGCTGGAAGCCAATTCCCCTTGTCACATCCTCCCTAAATTTTTGAAACCCTTACCCAAAGGAATGGAACCACGTTTGACCTATTTTAAATGTGTTCTCAACTTTCTTCCCCTCCTGGTCTTGACCTCCTTCCTCTAGGACCAGGTTGCTAGTTGGAACCAGTGTGCGTGGATACTAGTATGGCCATACCAATTGTTACATTATTAAAATATTTTCATACCAGTTGCTAAGTAGCTAATCTTGGCACCCTTTGGCAAACAAGTTGCTACATATTTGCAATATATAACTCTGCCTCATTTCTACTTTCAGTCTCTAAAAATAGTAGCTAACAGAGAAGGAATTTGATTTCTGTAGAATGACTGAATGTCCACACATCTTTCTTCTTTCTTTTTCTTTTTTTTTTTGAGTGGGAGTCTCACTCTGTTGCCCAGGCTGGAGTGCAGTGGCATGCTCACAGCCACCGCAGCCTCAATCTGCTGGGCTCCGGCGATCTTTCCGCCTCAGCCTTCCAAGTAGCTGGAGCTACAGACATTAGCCACCACGCCTGGCTAATTTTTAAAAATTTATTTATTGTAGAAATGAGATCTCACCAAGTTGCCCAGGCTGGTCTCGAACCCGTGGGCTCAGGCAACCCTCTCATCTCAGCCTCCCAAAATGCTGGCATTACAGGCGTGAGCCACTGCACCCAGCCTTACATATCTTTCAGTATGCTCTTCATACCTCTTCATCTTGGAATCCTGGTTCTTCTAGCACAACCTGATCCTCCTTCATATTGAATGGTGAGAAGCAGAAAAATAATCAACTCTGGGAAAATAAGAAATATTATTTAAGAAACAGTTGGCCAGGCTCGGTGGCTCAGCCTGTAATCCCAGCACTTTGGAAGGCCAAGGCAAGTGGATTGCCTGAGCCCGCGGGTTTGAAACCCACCCAGGCAACTTGGTGAGACCTCGTCTCTACAATAAATCAAAAATTAGCCAGGTGTGGTAGTGCGCACCTATAGTTCTGGCTACTTGGAAGGCTGAGGTGAAAGGATTGCTGGAGCCCAGCAGGTCGAGGCTGCGGTGGCCGGGAGCGTGCTGCTGCATTTCAGCCTGAGCGATGGAGTAAGACTCCAACTCAAAAAAGAAAAGAAAAGAAATAGTCGTAGATCATATAGTCAAAAATGCTTTGTCCAGAGGCCTAATTTCATTTCAAAGTCACCAAGGACCCAAAGGACAGTGGGAGATGCATTTAGTTGGGAAATACTGGGCTGGCCTATCTTTCTGCTGGGCATGTGGCATTATTTCTTTGGGGGTATGTGTCAGGGTGGGGTTGGGGGTTGCTTATTTGGTTTCTTCTCTGTTCTCAACATGGCCCAGTTTTTATCATCTTCTGATTTTTTTTTCATCTTCTGATTTTTATTGTAGTTAACCACAACCGATGATAATATCTCTACTGCTGCCTTGGAATGTTATTTAGAATCACATATTGCTACTAACTTTTCATGTTTATGTTTAAGAACACTCTGAGAACCTCGACATTATGTCATTCCTTCTTTTTTTTTTTAATCTGGAGTCTCGCTCTGTCACCCAGGCTGGAGTGCAGTGGCACACTCATGGCCACTGCAGTGTCAGCCTGCTGGGCTCAGGTGGTCCTTCTGCCTCAGCCTTCCAAGTAGCTGGAACTACAGGCACGTGCCATCATGCCCGGCTAATTTATGTATTTATTTTTTTATTGTAGAGATGAGGTCTCACCAAGTTGCCCACGCTGGTCTTGAACCTGCGAGCTCAGGCAATTCTCTCACCTCGGCCTCCCAAAGTGCTGGTGTTATAGGCATGAGCTACTGCGCCCAGCCCATTCCTCCTTTTATCCTCTCTGGTGTGTGCCTTGAACTGAGTCCTCAGTGATGTTTTATTTTTCTCAGATATAGTGAATGCCTTCCTGTTTGCTCTTGTAACACCTATCCTTTTGATTCATGGAACATTAGCTATACTTTGTTCATGATTTTTTAAAAACATTGACAAATATGATGGATACCTATTTTAATATTAGGGCAGATAAGACGTTCAATAGTCTGATTTAACACTGTAGATTATTTTAAATCTCAGGAATCCACGAGCCTGTGTTCATCACAATGAAATGTGTTCCGAATATAATTTTTCTTGGTCTATTCCATTTCCTCATTTGATACCGAAATCAGGGATTGGATCCCAGCACAAAGGGAACAAACTACTAAGGCAGTGGCGTGGTTCTCCATCTAGCACCTCCAAACAGTGACGTATGGGAGGCAAACAGACTGTCTGGGTGGGATCTTCTGGGACACTGGCCCTCAGGCTAGCTACATGTATGATTACCCTATATCCCACACTGGCCTCAAGGAAGAAAAAAAATCTATTGTCCGTTTCTTCTCCCTCTTATTAACTGAAAAGTTTCTTCCCCATCTTTTTTTTTTTTTTTTTGAGTTGGAGTCTCACTCTGTCACCGAGGCTGGAGTGCAGTGGTACACTCACGGCCACTGCACCCTCTACCTGCTGGGCTCAGGCGATCCTTCCACCTCAGCCTTCCAACTACAGGCACGCGCCACCACGCCTGGCTAACTTTCTGATTTATTGTAGAGTTGAGGTCTCGCCAAGTTGCCCCGGCTGGTCTCGAACCTGCGGGTTCAGGCAATCCCCTCACCTCGGCCCCCCAAAGTGCGGGGATTACAGACTTGAGCCACCACACCAACCCTCATCTTTCTTAAGTAAGCAGCTGATGCATTGAACAGCTGGATCCAAAGTAGGGACCCCGGATACCGTGTTTTGAGGGAACAGGTGTCCGTTATGGTGGGCCGCACAATCAGGGCGCCCATGGCACCCCCCACCCCAAGCTACCTCGGGCAGCCGCCTCATCCTTTTCTGACACCGATTCTCTCCTAAGGAGACTGAGGGGGCCCTCCGAGACACAGGTCCGATTTGGTGTTTTTTTAATTTTTATTTTTGAGTCGGAGTCTCACTCTGTCGCCCAGACCGGAGTGCAGTGGCCGCTCCCGGCCACCGCAGCCTCGACCTGCTGGGCTCCGGCGATCCTTCCGCCTCAGCCTTCCGAGTAGCCGGAACTCCAGGCGCGCGCTACCTCACCCGGCTAATTTTTGATTGACTGTAGAGACGAGGTCTCGCCAAGTTGCCCGGGCGGGTTTCGAATCCGCGGGCTCAGGCAAGCCACTCGCCTCGGCCTCCCAAAGTGCTGGGATTACTGGCTGAGCCACCGCGCCCGGGCTTGATGCCGATTTTATACAAGCAGCCGGGTGTGGTGGCCCGCGCCTGTGATCCCAGCCACTGGGGCGGCTGAGGCGGAAGGATCGAGGCTGCCGGGCGTTGTGATTGTGCCACGGCGCTCCGGCCTGGGCGACAGAGTGAGACCCCGACTCAGACTAACTAAGTGAAATTAAAAACAGGCTGGAAATCCCTCAAGATCTCAAGACCCGAGATTCCTTCCGAGGTGGGGGCGAACGCAGGTCATTAACCCAGTCCCTGCAGCGACCACCAAGTGTGGCCAAAACAGGGAAAGCGGAGCGCGCGTTCTCAAAACCGAGTTTCCTCGCAGGGTTTTCACACGCTTTCCCTATGTGCTTCTCAGCCCCCTCGTACCCACAGTCTCCCCGAGATTTTCAAGGTAAGCCCCTTCTGCCCCCGCCGCGGCTTTCCGGTCCTCTGCTGACAGGATCTTAACTCTTTCCCAGAACGCGGAGATTGGCGACCCGCGAGTCTCCGACCGAACGGTTCGGCGCCAAACTAGGAGGGCGGGAAGAGGACAGAGCGGGGGGGCGGGGCGAGGACCGAAGGCCGGGAGTGGGCGGGTCCACGGCGGATACCAGAGGGCGTGGCTTGGAGGGGGAGTGGCGAGGATAGAACTGGGGCACGGCGCGGAGCGAGGACCGAGGGGCGGGGAGCCAGCGTGCCCACAGTGGGGGTGGGGAGCGGGGGCGTGGCATAGAGGGGCGTGGCGAAGACAGGGCCGGGGCGGGGCAGAAGGGCGGGAAGAAGACTGAGGGCCGAGGAGCGACCAGACGCTTCCGGGGGTGGTGGCGCGCTCCAGTGAGGCAGGGGCCCTGTGGAAGAAGTGTGCTGAGGAGAGGGGTCTTGATGGTCGGAGAGAGCTGGGACGTCCCTCGAGCAGAGCGAAGGGCTGAAGTTCGGGAGAGGGCTCAGAGGCGGGGACGCTGAGAGGAAAGACCTTGAGGCGGGGGAGGGGTACTGAGCGGAAGTGGCTGACGCGGGCGCGAGGTGACGCGCAGATTCTGGAGCCGCGGGTTTGGGGGCCGAAAAAGGGGGTCCCCCTGCCCGAGGCTCTTTCGCTTTCGCGTGTTCCCTACCTGGCTTCCTGGGCTGTCCCTACCGCCTCAGGGGTCCCAGTCTCCCTCTCCTCTCGAAGACTCTCTTCCCGTTGCCACTCTCCTGTCCGTGATCGAGACACCCAAGGCCATTCAGGATGGAGAGTAGTTTTTCTTTGTCTCAACTCGAAGTTTTAAATAGCCCACAGACGCCACGCATACTTTGGCTCCGCTTTTCAACAGAAGTTTCAGGCCAGCCGAGCCATCTCTGGCAGCGTCCTCCTCCTCCCCTTAAATGGAGACTGACTGTTGAGGACAGCCATGAAACATTAGAAGGAGCATCTGTTGAGGTGGAGGCTGTGGTGGATCTTGGACGAGTCGTTGTGCAAACAGTTCCTTGGTTCAAGACCTAGAACAGGGCGACCCCCTCCTTTTTTTTTTTTTTTTGGTCTGAATCATTTTGCTGGGATAAATAACAAAACAATTCCCACAAGAGCAGTTGGTATTTTGTAGGACTCCCCCACCTCAGGTGGATTGTTTAGAGAGCCAACAAATAACTGCCATTGTGCCTCAAAATCTGTTATTTTCCAGAAACATAGCCTGTTCTTCTTGTGAGATGGAAATTAATGCCCATTTGGGGGAGCAACAGGAAAGTGATGACAGGCTTTCACGCAGAGGCCTCACCTAGAATAATTATAGGAACTCTTGAGCAACTTGTTAGAGGAAGACATCAACAGTGTACAGAGGAGCTGCAAAGAGCACAGCAAGACGATTTAGGGAGATATAACATATGTAGTTGAGTGTAGTGACAGCTGGGAGAGAGGAATGTTCATAATATTTGAAGGTTGTGTGCAGTACACGTAAAGAAACTGAAATGAGCTGGGTAATGACAAATTCATGAAGGGAGGATAAAACTGGATAGCATATTGATGGTTATATGCAACTCTAAAAATGTTTTAAAACAACAACAACGAACACTGGGGTAGTTAAAAAGGGCATATGAGGACCTTTCCACTCAAGTCAGGACAAAAAAAAAAAGAGGTAAGACTTTCATGTCATACAAAAACTCTGAGTATGATGAAGGTGATGTTTTAAATCAGCAGGGAAATGATGAATTCAGTGAATGGTGTTAGAACTAGGTAACCATCTGGAAGAAAACTAAAATTAGAAGCATACTTTACATCTTCTACCAAAATAAATTCTAGATGGATCGAAAATTAAATCTGTACAATAAAATAATAAAACTACTAGAAGAAAATGTATTTTAAATTATTTTATAATTAAAAAAATCTCTTTACGGTACAAAATTCAGAAGCTATAAAAGACTGGTACAGTAATATATATATTTATATATTTTTTAGTTGGATTCTCACTCTGTCGCCCAGACTGGAGTGCAGTGGCTGCTCCCGGCCACCGTAGCCTCGACCTGCTGGGCTCTGGCAATCCTTCCGCCTCAGCCTTCCCAGTAGCCGGAATTACAGGCATGCGCTACCACACCTGGCTGATTTTTTGATTTATTGTAGAGATGAGGTCTCGCTGCCCAGGTGGATCTTGAACCCACGGGCTCAGGCAGTCCACTCACCTCAGCCTCCCAAAGGCGCGGGATTACAGGCTGAGCCACCGAGCCCGGCTCGGTACAATAATATTTAAAAATATATCCTGCATGGCAAAATGCTACTTTTTAATCCAAGATATAGAACATGGCAAGCCAGAGCTTTTGTGTCAATTATTAACTGGATAACATAGCATACCTCATTTTTCAAATCCTTTAGGGACTCCATAATTGCTCCATAAATTTAAAAAAAAAAAATTGGGGTATCATTTGAATGATCTTTTAAGAAAAAAACACCAAAAAACAGGCAGTCCAGATCTGAATTGTAAACCATTACACTTTACTGCCCCTCTGTGGACAATTACCTTATAACCAAATAGAAGCACATGATTTCATTATACGAATATGTACAGCTAACTAAAGCCTGTGGATGTAGGTTCTTGAAGTTTCAAGAGCTCAGATTTGAGAAATGTTTTGGTAGAGTGAAAGGACAGACCGAGAATGGGAAGCCATTTTTTCATCTTGTTCTTAAACCCTGATACAATGATGAGAAAGTAGAAGCTATGCTTTTGGAGAAATGCACACTTTAATTAACTTGACTTTGTCTTTTCGGAAACAGACTTCCAGGTATCTGAGGTATCTCATCGTGGCAATCAAGCTTGCCTAGAGTAAAGGGAATTTACAAGGCCTAAGACATTATGCATTGGGCAAGGACTGTAAAAGTCATGAAACTTGTAATTACAAAAGTTATAACTGCTCAGAGGGGGAGCAGGTGGGGATTCGATCTTCCAGTAAATTGGGCACTATCTACAGGGAAGCCAAGGATCCCCCAAAGCTACCCACTGGGAATGCCTAGGAAATAAAGGGAGGTGCACCGTCCACTAGCTCTAAGGAATCCTTGTCACGCCCTTCTCTAGGGGCTATGATAATGTGGGTGAACATTAATGGCTCTGTGTCACAGGTTCTCCAAGACATCCACAGGTGGTCGATAAGGAAGTCACAGCAGTCACAGCAGTCATGTGCAACATCTCCAAGAAAAGGATTGAAGCCAGGACTCTGGGGGGCTACGCGGCCACACTCACCTAGAGTGTAGGCCCACTCCCTGTCTGTGGGGGATGAACTTTTCTTAAATAAATCTTTTCTTCTCTCACCTCTGTGTGTCGCAATTCTCTGCAATCTACTCGGATCTCTGGGTTGCTGACGCACACCTCCAGCCTGCCAGCCCGGGCAGTGCTGTGCACCTCCCCGCCCTGCGCCCCTCTACCCTCACCCATCCGTCAGTACCCTAACATAGAGAACTAAAGAATGAAGGCTTATCACACACAAAAAACTCACTCATTCAGGAGATATTTATTGATTTCCTACTTGTCAGTCGCTGTGCTAGGTGTTGGGTGCTAGGGATTCAACAACAAACAAGATACCAACTTTAGTGGAAGCTCTAGGCAGTATGGAGGCAAGAGTAGGTGCTACTGTAATAGTAAGACCCTAGAATCTGCTTCTCTCCTGTTGAAAAATAATGAATTATCCATGAATATTTTCACTTTTCTACCTAGTATGGTCTTTATGATTGAATAAAAAACATACTTGGGAAATTAGAGATAATGAACTGATAGATTTAGAAACATCTTTCTTAGAGCCATTTGTTCATATTCTAAAGGTAACAAAACTTAAGAACACTTTCCTTCTCTCCTCTGGAGGCATTTGCTTACATTCCAGGGTTGTAAAAGACTATTCAGTCCTCTCCCTAGAGGGATTTGTTTCCTTTAGAGAATAAAGGTATCTTTCTCTCTCTTCCTCCTCCTCCTCCCCTCACTTCCCTTCCCTGTTTTCCCCCTCTCTTCCTCTCTCCCCGGAGGGGAAAAGGGCAGATAGATATACCAGATGCCCTATCTAAGCTTCAAGTCTCATATTTTGGGGATTATTTTATTGTGGTACAAACCCTGCTGCACGCTCAGGTGGACAGTTAGCCCTACTGCATCAGTTTGTGAGTAGGGAACCACTGCTAAGATGCTCTGTGAGTAATCTGTTCTCTAATCCAGTCAGAATACATTTATACATACACACAAATACATATATTAAGCTCTGTCCTCCAATCAAGAATTAGCTTTTTCTAGTTTGTTTTGGGAAAGTGGAAAATCTATTTTACATTCTTCCTAAAGTGTCCTGGGAAGTAGCTTCTTTTTTGGGGGCAGGGAGTCAGAGTCTCACTTGTCCAGGCTGGAGTGCAGAGGCACGCTCACTGCCACTGCAGCCTCAACCTGCTGGTCTCAGGTGATCCTTCCGCCTCAGTCTTCCAAGTAGCTGGAACTACAAGCATGCACCACCACATCTGGCTAATTTTTCTTGATTTAATGTAGAGATGAGGTCTCACTAAGTTGCCCAGTCTGGTCTCAAACCCCTGGGCTCAGGTAATCCTCTGACCTTGACTTCCCAAAGTACTGAGATTATAGGAGTGAGGCACTGTGCCCAGTCTTAAAGTTGCTTCTTTTTTTTTTTTTTTTTTTTGGAGTTGGAGTCTCTCCGTCACCCAAGCTGGAGTGCAGTGGCATGCTCATGGCCACTGCAGCCTCGGTGATCCTTCCACCTCAGCCTTCCAAGTAGCTGAAACTACAGGCTCATGCTACCACATCCAGCTTATCTTTTTATTTATTGTAGAAACGAGGTCTCACCAAGTTGCCTAGGCTGGTCTTGAATCTCTGAACTCAGGCAGTCTTCTCTCCTCGGCCTCCCAAAGCTGGGATTACAGGCTTGAGCCACTTGCCCGGCCTGAAGTTGCTTCTTAACACTCTGTGACTCCCAGTTATGCCTCTGGGTCATTTCTCGTTTCACTGCTGCCTGGCACTCCTAGATACAATTCCCTCACTAGGATATGCAGCTCTTTCCCTACAGATGTCACTGGAGAGATTGATGTGAGGCAGATTATGGTCCCTTCCCCTTCTTTGTAGTATCCCT